TGATAATAGGAATAATAATGATATTAATAATATTAATGGTAATAGTGATAATGATAATGATAATAACACATAATAATAAAATAATAATAATACTAATGATTATAATAATAATGATAATAAAAAGAAAATAATAATAATGATAATAATAATAACAACAACAACAACAACAATAATAATAATGATGACAAAAAATAATAATAGTAACAAAAATCATCATCATCATCATAATAATAATTATAACAATAATAATAATAATAATAATAATAATAATAATAATAACAATATTAATAATAATAATGATAATAATGATAATAACAATGATATGAATGTGAATAAGAACAGTAATAATAATCGTAATTATGATAAAATGATAATGATATGATGATAATAATAGCGATGATAATAATACTAATAATACCAATAAAAATACTACTACTACTACTAACAATTATAATGATAATCGGAATAATAATAATATTAATAATATTAATGGTAATAGTGATAATGATAATGATAATAACACTAATAATTATAATGATAAAAAGTATTAATAATACAGGTAATGATAATATCATTACTAATAATAATGATTAATAGTTATGATGATAACAATTATAGTAATGATTATAATAATAATAATGATAATAATAATAATAATAATAATAATAATAATAATAATAATAATAATAATAGTAATAGTAATAATAATAATAATAATAATAACAATAATGATCATAATGATAATAGCGCTACTACTACTACTGCTACTACTACTACTAATAATAATGATAATAATAATAATATTAATAATACAATAATAATGATGATAATAGTAATAGAAATAAGAAAAAATAACTTTATCATTATTATTATTATCAATATTATTAACATACTATATTTATTGTTATTATCTATCATTATCTTTTATTATTATTATTATTATTATTATTATTATTATTATTATTATTATTATTATTATTATTATTATTATTATTATTATTATTATTATTATTATCATTATTAATATTATCATTATTATCATCATTAATATTATCATTATTATCATCATTATCATCATTATTATTATTATAATCATCATTATTATCATTATTTTTTTTATTATGTTATTCTTATTATTGGTATTATTATTATTATTATTATTATTATTATTATTATTATTATTATTATTATTATTATTATTATTATCATTATCATTACTATTATCATGATTAATATTGTTTTAGTATAATTACTATTACTATCATTACTATTATTATTTTCACTATTATTGCTATCATTTTAATAATTGTCATAATCATTACTGCTTTTGTAAGTATTATTAATATCAATACTATAATTGTTATCATAACTAAAACTATTATCATTGTTATTGCTATTATTATTATGACTATCATTATTATTACAGTTGTTATTATCATTATTATTACCAATACTATTATTATTATTGTTAATATTATTGTTATTATTGTCATTATCATAGTCATTATTATATTAGAAGTAGTAGTATTATTATCGCTATTATTATCATATTATTATTATCATCACTATTATTATTATTATTATTATTGTTATTATTATTATTATCATTATTGTTATCATTATTATTATTATTATTATTATTATTATTATTATTATTATTGTTATCATTATTATTATTATCATTATTATTATTATTATTATTATTATTATTATTGTTATTATTATATTATTGTTGACATCATTATCATTAACATTATTATTACTATTATTACTATTATTATCATAATCATCATTATTAGCAACAACAGTAATGCTGATGATTGTTTTATTACTGATAGTATCATTATTCATTTCTTTATTAGTATCTGCACTATCATTACTAGTAGTGCTGTTATCATTGACAATTTCACTATTAAAATTATCACCGTAACGGAAAATAATACAGTATGAACAGGAAAATATTGATGTCTGCACTGATTGTAACACTGATAATAATATTCAAATTGATAATGGCAGTAATAATTGGGTGTTATGAGGAAATAGCAGGGAGAAGAACAAGTAGACAATAATTATAAAATTATTAAGGAATAGCAGCGAGGGAAGCAGGTAAGAAATTATTATGAAATTATTACAAACATCGTTGTTGGTCACTATTTTCACCATCTTCACTACTGTATTACAATAATGATTGTTATCGTTATTACTGTTAACCTTTAGATATTTATTATAATAATGCTATAAAGAACGAAAATTTCTTTGAGTCATAAAACAATTTTAATGATTGAATAATAGCGATAACAAAATTACTATCATTAAATATATTATCATGAACACCATTTATTGTGTCGTCATAATTGCGGTTTATACAATTATCAGTACAATTACTGTCGCTACTACTGCTCTATGTCATTATCATTATCTTACTCCACCAATGTTATAATCATCGTCCCAATAACATATAAAAGGAATATTGTCGATTGTACGAAATATCTAGAAATACGAGCGATGCGTCTGAAAAAAAGAACGGAAGAATTTTCATGAATATATTACGTAAGCTAATGAATTACATAAGCCGTACAAAGTCGGTGCTTAGGTTGCCAAAACATTCATCATTACAGACTAAAAAATATAATATATATGTAAACACTACTTCGACATGCAAAAAATATGATCACTTGGAAGCGTCAATGTTTGTATTTTACAACATAAGCTCTTGGTTTTCCTGTTAAATAATGAAAAAAGCTATTATCTAAACATCAGCTTCCAGGCGAAACACATTATTTTTCTCTGAAAAGAGAGAGAGAGAGAGAGAGAGAGAGAGAGAGAGAGAGAGAGAGAGAGAGAGAGAGAGAGAGAGAGAGAGAGAGAGAGAGAGAGAAGAGAGAGAGAGAGAGAGAGAGAGAGAGAGGAGAGAGAGAGAGAGAGAGAGAGAGAGAGAGAGAGAGAGAGAAAGACATAAATAGATAGATAGATAGGTAGACAGATAGATAAACAGAAAGCTAGACAGACAAATAGGTCGACAGATAGACAAACAGAAAGCTAGACAGACAGATAGATAAATAAACAGATAAATAGAGAGAGACAGAGACAGAGCTGGAGACAGGATAAGCGAACAGAATAAAAAGGGACAAACGCAAACTGAGAGAAACTCACGTGCAGCCAGGCGCCGAGGGAAACCCCATATGCTCTAGAAATCGAGAGAGAGAGAGAGAGACGAGGGGGAGAGGAGAGAGAGAGAGAGAGAGAGAGAGAGAGAGAGAGAGAGAGAGAGAGAGAGAGAGAGAGAGAGAGAGAGAGAGAGAGAGAGAGAGAGAGAGAGAGAGAGAGACGAGTAGGAGAGGAGAGAGAGAGAAAAAAAACATGTTTCTTATTCCAACGAGCAGGATTTACTGAAAATGCATCGCGCTTTCAGTCTGTGCGGTATACTCGTGTTTGTAAGTGCGGTTGGCGCGGAAGCGAAGTGTCGGGAACAAACACACCACTCGCTGAGGACGCGGTGCAATTCATGCAACGTTCTGCCCTTCTGACGGTTGTTCTAAATGACTGCGGCCAAAGGCATTATTGTAGTCATTGTGAGACAAGCATGCCGGCGGAATATCAATGTTGCGAGAGTAATTGTCGCCGACGGCCAGCCTCGTCCTTAAACAAACCAGCCCGCCTCCCCCTCGCCCTCCGACGGCCCCTCGACCTCCCGCTTCAAGGAGGACGAAGTGACCCCGCCACGTCAGGAGCAAGCGGCATGGGCGCAACCGAGATGACGTCACAAGCAAGTGGCATAAATGCAAGCGAGATGAAGGTGACACACGCACAAGCGAGATGAAGTCGCAATCAAGTGGAATGGCGCAAGCAAGATGACGTCAGGAGCAAGTGGCATAAAAACAAGCCAGATGATATCGCAAGCAAGTGGCGCGAAAGCAAGCGAGATTACATCGCAAGCAGGTAGCATAGGCGCAGGCGAGAAGACATCGCAGGCAAGTGGCACAAAAGCAAGCGAAATGACGTCGCAAGCAAGTGGCACAAAAGCAAGCGGTAAGACATAACAAGCAAATGGCACGAAAGCAAGCGAGATGACCTCGCAAGCAAGTGGCACAAAAGCAAGCCAGATGATATCGTAAGCAAGTGACACAGACGCAAGCGAGATGACGTCGCAAGCAATTGGCACGAAAACAAGCGAGATGACGTCGCAAGCAAATGGCACAAAGGCAAGCGAGATGACGTCGCAAGCAAGTGGCACAAAGGCAAGTGAGATGACGTCGCGAGCAAGTGGCACAAAAGCAAGCGAGATGACGTCGCAAACAAGTGGCACAAAAGCAAGCGAGATGACGTCGCAAGCAAGTGGCACAAAGGCAAGCGAGATGACGTCGCAAGCAAGTGGCACAAAGGCAAGCGAGATGACGTCGCAAGCAAGCGGCACAAAGGCAAGCGAGATGACGTCGCAAACAAGTGGCACAAAAGCAAGCGAGATGACGTCGCAAGCAAGTGGCACAAAGGCAAGCGAGATGACGTCGCAAGCAAGTGGCACAAAGGCAAGTGAGATGACGTCGCGAGCAAGTGGCACAAAAGCAAGCGAGATGACGTCGCAAACAAGTGGCACAAAAGCAAGCGAGATGACGTCGCAAGCAAGTGGCACAAAGGCAAGCGAGATGACGTCGCAAGCAAGTGGCACAAAGGCAAGCGAGATGACGTCGCAAGCAAGTGGCACAAAGGCAAGCGAGATGACGTCGCAAGCAAGTGGCACGAACGCAAGCGAGATGACGTCGCAAGCAAGTGGCACAAAGGCAAGCGAGATGACGTCGCAAGCAAGCGGCATAAAGGCAAGCAAGTGGCACGAACGCAAGCGAGATGACGTCGCAAACAAGTGGCACAAAGGCAAGCGAGATGACGTCGCAAGCAAGTGGCACGAACGCAAGCGAAATGACGTCGCAAGCAAGCGGCACAAAGGCAAGCGAGATGACGTCGCAAGCAAGTGACACGAACGCAAGCGAGATGACGTCGCAAGCATGTGGCACAAAGGCAAGCGAGATGACGTTGCAAGCAAGCGGCACAAAGGCAAGCGAGATGACGTCGCAAGCAAGTGGCACGAACGCAAGCGAGATGACGTCGTAAGCAAGTGGCACGAACGCAAGCGAGATGACGTCGTAAGCAAGTGGCACAAAGGCAAGCGAGATGACGTCGCAAGCAAGCGGCACAAAGGCAAGCGAGATGACGTCGCAAGCAAGTGGCACGAACGCAAGCGAGATGACGTCGCAAGCAAGTGGCACAAAGGCAAGCGAGATGACGTCGCAAGCAAGCGGCACAAAGGCAAGCGAGATGACGTCGCAAGCAAGTGGCACGAACGCAAGCGAGATGACGTCGCAGGCAAAATCGCAGCCCAAGAAGTCACCCAAAAGTTTGGCAACGCTCGCTGAGTGGGCCTCCTCTCAGACTTTGGTAACGCTCGGTGCGGGGCCGCCCTTCGGAGTCGGACTTGGAGAACCAATCAGCGCTTAGTGTCCATTTGGCAGGCGTGGAGGTTGGACGTACGCCGGGCTCTGTGATCGCGCGCTGTGCTATTTACTCGACGCAAAATCTTTCTATAAATATTAATTTGGCTTTGAATGGTTTCATTTTGAAAACGAAAAGTGCATGGAAAGCGAAGGAGTCTGTGTCAGTGGCTTTTTGATGTTTTATTGCTAAGACCGGTGTTGAAGGAACAAGTTTTTTCTTTTTTTTTATTAAGAAGTTTTTGCGAACTTCGAGCGAAAGGGATTAATTCTATTTATTTATTCGTTTATCTATTTATCCCGTTTGTTTAATCACTTCGGAATTATCTGCATCATGGATTATCTCAGGAGGTAAGTGTTTGTGATTTTTTTTTGTTTTATTCCTCAATTTTGTCGCGGTTTTGAAGAATTAAGAAAAAAAAAAAGTTTATTCGCGAAAAAAGGAACTTCAACAAAACGAGCAACAGCGATTATTTTTTTTCGATTATTTGGCATTAATCGCGATGGTTTAGCGGCGAAGGGAGGTGTTGGGGGGGCGGAAACAGAGGGAAAGGAGCGCAGACTTGAAGGGAACTCGAGGCCGACGTCGCGCGGCGTGAACTTTCCCCAACACGTGTTCGCTCGCGGTCGAGGGTTTCGCGTCTCCTGCTGTTATTGGGCGCTAGTGTTGTATTGTCATCGTCATTATTATCATCATTATTACCAACATTATTGTCATTATTGTTATTATTATTATTATTATTATTATTATTGTTATTATTATTATTATTATTATTATTACCATTACTATTATTATTACCATTACTATTATTATTACCATTACTGCTCTCATTATCGTTTTCAGTATCATTATTATTATTAGTGGTATCCTTATTGTTTTAATCATTAATATCATTATAATTATTAATACTGCTGCTATTTTTATTATTATTATTTTTGTTGTTGTTATTATTATTGTTATGCGATTTGAGTAATGGTAAAATAAACATCCTGGATAACATACCTTTAGCCAGGTTGAGGAAGGATATTTTTATCATTTCGAAGAAGCGAATATTTCTATCAAAAGAGAAAGCGAATTAAACGATATTTAATTATCGAAAACGACATCGAACTTTTACGCCCATTAATTTATCTTTGATGTTTATTAATTGTTATCCTCGTGAGTGAAGATTATTAATATCATCATCATTCTCTCTCTCTCTCTCTCTCTCTCTCTCTCTCTCTCTCTCTCTCTCTCTCTCTCTCTCTCTCTCTCTCTCTCTCTCTCTCTCTCTCTCTCTCTCTCTCTCTCAGACGCTCTATCGAACACGCGTTTATTGATGTTTAATAATAATAAAGAATTGTGTTTAATTGCGTAGCATGTTATAAGAAGGGATGTGACAATGTTGCATTTTGTTTTTATTAAAGATTTTGGTGTCGTGAAGCCCATTTCATTTTCTGCATCAATAAACTATATGAATATATGTTGTTATTTAAATGCATTGTGTGTGTTTTTTTTAGTGATTTGCATTTAGTAATTTATGCTTGTCAATTTAAAAAAACGAGAGAAAATAGATATATTTTTGATGGGTATATATTAATGTAAAAAGATAATTTTATATATTTGTAGGTTTATGAAATATGTTATGATCATGCGGGTAAAATTAGAGTACGCATCAGAGATTAAAACGAATATGCATAACTGAAATTCTAAAAAAAAATCGCTATTATTATTATATATTGTCATTATTATTATTATTATTATTATTATTATTATTATTATTATTATTATTATTATTATTATTATTATTATTATTATTATTATTATTATTATTATTTTATTATTTTATTATATTTTTTTATTATTTTTATTACTATTAATTTTATTCCCTTCAACGCGAAACGGAGGTAGGAGAGCTAAGGATGTGTGTTTTAATTCGCGGCGTAAAAGAACTGTTCCAGGTTCATTTGTGCGCGAATTGTGCGGATCTAAGGCAAGCTAAAGTGACAAGGGGGGGGGGAAGGAAGAGAGTGAGAAGAGTAAGAGGAAGATGGGAAAGAGAAGAAAGGGAGAGGAAAATGAAGGGAAAGAGGTGGAGGAGGAGTAAAAGAGAAGATGAAAAAGGAAAGAGGAGGAGGGGGAAACGGAGAAAAAATAGGAAGGGGAAGAAATTAAAAGAGGAGGAGAAAGGGGAAAATGGAAGAAAAAAAAAGGCGAAGAGGAAGAAAGGAAAAAGGAGGAGGAGGAGGAAGTAACAGTGCGGTAATAATATGAGCTTGAAATCCGGTTGTTGGTCACACGTGAATTTTCCCCATGAGGAGGCCGGGAGTGGGACGGGAGGGGGGGGGGGGGGGCGAGGTCAGGAGAGGTCAGATCTTGGGCGATAGATAGGCCTAGGTCACTCCAGTGGGTTCTCCGAGGTCACTTTCCGTTAGAAGGCGCTAATTTGTTTTATTTATTCTATCCATTTACTTTTGTTTATTTGGCCCGTTATTTATCGAGTTCGTTTGTTTATTTCGACGAAAGGAAGGAAGAAGAGAAGGCGGAGGAAAGAGCTTTTGATGCGAGGCCATTGAAGTTCGAGAAGAGGGAGAAAACACAGGATTAACTCGGATAATATAATTAGCGGTCGAAGAAATGCGGTTATGCCCCCCCCCCTTCCCTTCCCCTAGTCATGTGGCAAGTTGAGAGAGAGAGAGAGAGAGAGAGAGAGAGAGAGAGAGAGAGAGAGAGAGAGAGAGAGAGAGAGAGAGAGAGAGAGAGAGAGAGAGGAAGGGAGAGACAGAGACAGAAAAGGTGGAGGGAGGGAGGGGGGGCAGGCAGAGGCATAGAGGAGAAAGGGAAAAGAAATGCAGAGAGAGAGAGAGAGAGAGAGAGAGAGAGAGAGAGAGAGAGAGAGAGAGAGAGAGAGAGAGAGAGAGAGAGAGAGAGAGAGAGAGGGGCGATGGACGATTAGCTTCCAGTCGTCGTCGATTGCTCTCTCTTTCGCGGCGCAAAACTTGAACTGATTTCGGAGTTAATTTGCGATTCGCGGTCCTTGAGGGGGGGGGGGGGTAGGTAGGCCTATGGCGGTTTGCGGGGGGTATTTGCGTGGCTGAATTATGTGTTCTTTTGGTTTGATTTTATTTTGATAATCGGTGGTCTACAAACGAGAGAGAGAGAGAAGAGAGAGAAGAGAGAAAGAGAGAGAGATTGAAAATTGGAAAAGAGGGGGAAGGGGGGGTTGGATTTTGCTCTGTAATTTGAATAATTGCTGCATGTTCTATACTAGAGAAATGAGAAATCTGAACGAATAGCCTGAGGCGCTGTAATAACCGATTTCTGATTGCCGTCCACGACGAGCGTGCTCTCAAAATTTCGATTGTGCTAATCCTCTGGGAATGGGATTAGGGACGGAGACGCAGGTGGGGAGGGGAATGAGGAGTGGGGGGGGGGAGGAAGGAAGGAAGGAATGGGGGGAGGGAAGAAGCAAGGAAGGAAGGAAGGAATGGGGGAGGGAAGAAGGAAGGATGGAATGGGGGGAGGGAAGAAGCAAGGAAGGAATGGGGGGAGGGAAGAAGCAAGGAAGGAAGGAAGGAATGGGGGGAGGGAAGAAGCAAGGAAGGAAGGAAGGAATGGGGGAGGGAAGAAGGAAGGATGGAATGGGGGGAGGGAAGGAGGAAGGAAGGAAGGGAAGGAATGGAAGGAGGGAGGAAGGAAGGAAGGAAGGAAGGAATGGGGGGAGGGAAGAAGGAAGGAGGGAGGGAGCCAAGAGAGGAAGGAAGTTTAGAAAGAAGTAAAGAAGGAAAGGAATAAGTAGGGAAGACAAGGCATAAGGAAGGAAGGGAGGGTCGTGTTTCCAAAGCGGGGAAGATGATTCGGAGTGATGAGGATGTCACACCAGCGGATTCACGAGTCGGCTTGTCTGTCTGTCTCTCGGGCCCAAGATAACGAGTTGTCTGGCGCCCGAATGGCCGTCACGGCATGACCTGGCACGGACTTTGACCGTCGACTGGGGGGCGGGGGGAGGGGGGTCTTTTGCGTGTCGGCAGAGGATGGGAAAGGCGGTAAGGGAGATGGGGGTTGGGGGGTTGGGGTGTCCTGCATGTCATCATGAAGGATTACTTGCGTTGGTTTGGGTAATTGAATTTCTTCGCTGCAAGGACGCTCGTGCGCTGACAACGTGCAATGTCCTCCGCGGGTAGATATTGCGTGCGTCGTTCCGTCCGCTTGTGAGGAGGAAAGGACCGGGAAATCGGTTCGCATTCGGGTTCCGCATTTTGAATATTTTGTTTTCCTTTGAGCTGAGTGTTTTGGATTCCCGAGCGGCGTAAATTTAGGGATGTCCGCCCGTCCGCCGGGACTCGCGCGCTATGATAATTAACTCGAAATTTAATTAATCCGGAGGTCCGGCGGGTCTTCAGTCGGGTAAATCTGCCAGCTGGCGAATTAATCCGAAAACTGCAACAGTCTCAAGTCCGTGGTGGGGGGAGGAGGGGGGAGGAGGGAGGGAAGAGGCCAGGGAAAGGGTGGGAGGGGAGAGGAGGGGGTATGGCGTGCCCGCAAATTCCCCGCGTTTTGACAAGACAATTTTTGCCGTTGATCTAAGAGAAGAATATGTAGAAAGAAAGAAAGAAAATATATCGAACTCTGCTCTTCCTGTCGCTACTTGAAGGCGCCCCTCGAATATTTATGCGATAAAAGGTGGTGCTCGGCCAGATTAGCCATCGCGCCCCGGGAAAATGTCCTCTTCTCTCTCTCTCTCTCTCTCTCTCTCTCTCTCTCTCTCTCTCTCTCTCTCTCTCTCTCTCTCTCTCTCTCTCTCTCTCTCTCTCTCTCTCTCTCTCTCTCTCTCTCTCTCTCTGCGTGTTGGTGCCTCGTCGCCCGATCGCTCAGTCGCCGGGATCTGCGGCTCGTGGGTATTGCGGGTCGGGAAATGGCTTTTGAAATGAGAATGATGGAATGAAAATAAAGATTAATAATTGATATGACGCTTTGTTGTTGCAAGAGGAGGAGTGGGACTGGGAGTAATAGTAGTAATAGTAGTAGTAGTGGTAGTAGTAATAGTAGTCGTAGTAGTAATAGTAACAGTAATAGTATCAGTAATAGTAGTAGTAGTAGTAGTAGTGGTAGTAGTAGTAGTAGTAGTAGTCACCGCAGGTCTTGAATATATACGATCGATAAAGAATAAGCAAAGAGAAAGAGTGAACTAAAAATCCCCTGGACGAGGCTCACGCATTTTGTTGTTGCGAGAGGAGTTGGGGGGAAAAAAGAGCGTTGTGTCTGCATCTTTAAGTCGGCTATTTGTGTATGCTTAGTAGGTTAGTCCTTTTTTCTTCCTTTTTTTTGGGGGGGGGAGAGGGGGTCATTGGGTTAAAGGTCAGGGTGGGGG